AATTGTTCTGGAATAGAAAATGTCTGCAGATTTTCACTGTGAGGGTGGTGAGACACTGGAACATCCACAGCTGTGGATGCCCCATCCCTGGTAGTGTTCAAGGTCAGGTTGGATGGGGCTTTGAGCAACCTGGTCTAGTGGAAGGTGTCCGTGCCTGTGGTGGAGGGGTTGGAACTAGATAATCTTTAAGGTCCCTTCCAACTCAAACCATTCTATGATGCTCAGCAAAAAATGCAGCAATGCCCTTTCTCTCTTTGCATGCTGTCACAAAGCACAACATATACCCCACTTGTCCATGCACGCTCAGGCAGGGCTCTGAACAATTGCTTACTTCTCTCCAACTTGCCTGCTCCTGAGCCAAGGAAATAAAAGGGTGGGCAGGTCACCAGGAGCCAGGCTTGCTATTGAAAGCCTGTTGATATTAATACAAAGGTACAGGGAAAAGGTGTCCACTTTCAAATTGTCAGGAAGTTCAGCGTTGCCAGGCATTGCAAACTTTCATGGATTATGTGTTAATAATGCACCTCCTGCACCTTGGGCAGCTGGGAAGCCATCAAAGAAACAGCAAGCTGTGCAGGATCCTGCCCATTTGGCCAGTTGCCCAAGCACGAATGATGAAAGCCATCTCCAGAATATAATCTGTCCTTTACATTGCCAGACTGGACTGATGCTCCTACTTCTTTAAGGCAGGATCGTATCTTGAGTAACCAGCACGTTATTCTGCTGCCTGAAAGCACTGTAATGATTTCTTAGCTGACTCCATGCCCTCATTCCATGTTCCTTGATATGCCCTGAGCCTTTCTTGCTAGTTCCATCTATCTGCCACCCCAAACATACTCCCTTTAACTCGGATGTCTTTTTAACTGTTGTTTTATCATGCTGAGCTCGAACAAAAAGCAAGGTATAAAGCAGTACCATGATGGAAACGTGTGACACTTTAATCACCCGCTCAGGTGGTGTTATAATTGGCTTAAAGATGCCGCTCCCTTCAATTACAGCCGTAAATGTGGGGCAGATACAATGCATTTGACACATTAAGTTAAGAACAAGAAAGACTGTTTGATGCACCTAATTTTGTCTTCCTTTTTTCCAGAGTCCCAATTTGTCATTCTTCAAGGCACAGTTTTTGTGTCCCATGACTCATCCCTCATACCCTTGCTTAAAGCAAACAGTGCCTAGGATTTTGCCTTGCGTTTTTAATTTTTTTTGGGTACAGCCTCAGCTGTGTTTGGTCTTAGCAAGCTTTCTTGTGAACTATGACCACTATTTTCCTATTAAACTTTTACAAAGGCTGGGATCTATCATTCCTATAGCAAAGTGCTGAATGTAAAGCTGCTGGAGGAAAAGCATCATTACTAAATCCATTCCAAACAGAAAACCTCGTAAGGTTTTGCTGTACTCCTTACTATCAGAAACCAGTTATGAATTTTGAAGCTATTTTATTTTACTGTGTGCCCTCAGTGCACTCTGTTCATTTAGCTGGTCTTACTTCCATTTCTGCATACAACCCTACACAAATTCAATGGTATTTTCAATTTCTCCTTACAAATGCCCGCTGATTTTATATTCATCTTTGTTTCCTGCACCAGACTCCCAATGGTTTATCCTCTGGGCTTTAAAATCAATCCTGCTATGCCGTTGCTGTGCAGCTTGCCCAGATAGTTTTCTTGTGGTAGCTAATGTTGGTGTCTGATGTATTTTCAGTTGTGGGACCAGCTGCATTGGATTCAGTTGCTAGCAGTGACAGACTTTCATGGCCACCTAGTTGGTTATGGCTGTTCCAATTTTGTGTATCACTTGTTCCAGTTAAACCATAGCACATTAATGGAAATGCCAGGTTACTTTCTGTATGCAGAGGGCAATTTTTTCTTCATTCATTTTTGGTGCAAGACTGACGGCAGTGATTTTATTTGGTGGGCAGATCCCTCTGTACCTTCCTGCCATCAGAAGCGATCCCTCAGCTTATGGCAAACACCATACTTTCTCAAGTCTTCTGTACAGGCAGAGAGGAGGTGTGTTTTCGCTCCAGCATTTCACCACGCTGTGAGTTACACGCATCCCCGGTGGGGTGCAGCCTTTAGCCCATGGCTGCACAGAGCATCCTCCGTCTTCTTTTGATCTCACTTCACCTGCCGTCCTGCAGCCTCTGCTCCTCCCAATCCCCGAGAGCACAGCTGGCCTCGCAGTACGGGTCGAAGGCTACTCCCCGAGCTCCCCGGCATGTGCGTGGCGGGTGAGGGCCCGGCTCCTGACAGCCCGCACTTCCGAAGGCGGTCCCTTGGGCCCGCCGCCGAGCCCGGGGCCACCGGTGGCCGCTGGGGGGCGACAGCAGCCCGCCGGGGAGGCGCGGCAGCGGGGAGAGGCCCTGCCGGCCCTGACCCGCACAGCACCGCCGGCCGACCCCTGAGCATCGCTCCTTGAGGGGGCCTGCATGGGCTCCCCGGAGGCGAGAGGAGGGGAGGACAAGGAGGAGAAAGAGAAGGAGAAGGAGAAGGGAGGTGGCAATTGCTAGCACCATGTATGGTGCCAAACATCTTCCCATGCCCACTTAAATTAAGAGATGCCAGAACAATTAAGCATGCTGAATGCCTCTCCAAGTACCTGGAATCATGGAAACAGAGTGGTTTGGGTTAGAAAAGACCTTAAGATCACCAAGTTCCAACCCCCCTGCCATGGGCAGGGACACCTTCCACTAGACCAGTTGCTCCAAGCCCCATCCAACCTGGCCTTGAATGGGATGGGGCAGCCACAATTTCTCTGGGCAGCCTGTTCCAGTGCCTCACCACCCTCACAGTAAAGAACTTTTTTCCTTATATCTACTCTAAATCTACCTCTTTCAGTTTAAAGCCATTCCCTCTTTCCCATCCCTACATGCCCTTGTAAGAAGACCCTCCCTAGCTTTCTTGTAGACCCTGTTAGGTACTGGAAGGCTGCTATAAGGTCTCCCCAAAGCCATCTCTTCTCCAGGCTGAACAGCCCCAACTCTCTCAGCCTGTCTTCACAGGAGAGGTGCTCCAGCCCCCTGATCATGTTCATGGCCTCCTCTGGACTTGCTCCAAAGGTGCTGGTTTGTACAGGTTAGAGACAAATTCCTCAGTGCGGCCTCAGAGGTAATCCCTGGATCACCCAGAGCACAACTGAGCTCTATGCATGGGGAATCCTTCCAGCTTGGATGCTAGGACTTTCCCTTCCTTCCCACTCCAGTGTGTGTTTCCCTCAAGCAGATGAGCTACCACCTGCAAACTACTCATGATGGGAGATTCTGTAAAGGAAATGGACACTTGGGAGGGAAGCATGCTTTCATTCCCTATATCCCCTGTTAAAAAAATCAAGTTCAGAGCTTCATTTATGCATTTTATTCCTTTTAGGTTCAGGGTAGTTTACATACGAGATTATCATCCCAGTTACCTTCATGTGGACAAAAAATGGCAGAATTTATCAAACATCTTTTTTCCCTTCTCATATTAGGCAGGGAAAGGTGCCGAGTATGGCCCCCTGCTCCTGTTTCACTTGGCTTTCCCTGGGATGGCTGCCTGCATCTGGGGCTGTCCCATCATCACTCATCCCTGCCCTGATGCCACTTGTCAAGATAACAGGGCAGCTGAGCCATCACTACCTCCCAGCACTGTGGGTTTAACCTACTTTGAAGGTGAACTCTGTTTCTTTGGTCAAGCTCCAGATTAATCTAATCCTTAAATAGTGTTGCTCCTGCTCTTGAATTGAAAAAAAAGAATCTCTGGGCTGGGTGCAGGGACAAATCTTGTGTCTTGTTTCACAGAATCACAGACTGATTTGGGTTGGAAGGGACTTTAAAGCTCACCCAGTTCCAACCCCCTGCCATGGGCAGGGACACCTCCCACTATACCAGTTTGCTCAAAGCCCCGTCCAACCTGGCCTTTAACACTGCCAGGGATGGGGCAGCCACAGCTTCTCTGTGCAACCTGTGCCAGTGCCTCACCACCGTTGTAGAGAAGAATCACTTCCTTACATCTTAACTAAATCTGCCTTTTGTCAGCTTAAAGCCATTCCTCCTACACGCCTTTGTAAAAAGTCTCTCTCGTCTTCTCCAGGCTGAACAAGCCCTCCTCTCTCAACCTCCTTCACAGGAGAGGTGCTCCGGCCGTTGGAGCATCATTGTGGCCTCCTTGTGTGGGGGGCCCCAGAGCTGAACACAGCACTGCAGGCGGGATCCAACTCCCCTCCTGCCCCACGGGCACGGCCTGTGCCCGGAACAGGTGTGCGGGACACCTCAAGCCGGGAGGTCACTCGCGGGGCCCGGCCTGTCCCTGGTCCCCAGCCCCGCACGGGCTCCGCTGCCAGGGCAGCCCGCCCCGCCTGCGACCTCTACCAGCCTACAGCGGGCCGCTCTTCTTCGTAAAAAGGGCGAGTGGGGCTTTTTCCTCCTCTCCATCCCCCATTTTATATTATTTATTATTATTATTATTATCATCATCACCTACTTATTTATTTATTTATGTGAACCCGCGCAGCTGCAGCAGCCTCCCGCGCGGGGCGGCAGAGGCGCGGAGAGGGTCGCGCTCCCTCCGCGCAGGGCCGGCTTCCTCCGCGCCGGCGGTGGCCCGGTCCCCCGTCCACTGCCGCCCCTCCGCGCCACTCCTCCCCGCCGCCGCCCCGCTGCCGGCCCCAGGCCCGCGCCGCGCTGGAGGGCGGTCCCGGTCTGCGCGGGGCTGCTCGCAGCCACCCCCTCCCCATTTCCCCCTTTTCTTGAATGAAGCGTGAGGCGGAGCTCTAGCGAACCACCGCGCCCGCCTGAGCTGCGCGGGGCCGGCGCCGGAGCCGCAGCCGGAGCCTCCCCCTCGGGCTCCGCTCCTCCCCGCCTCTCCCCGCCCCCGCCGCTCCGCTCCGCTCCCCGCCGCCGCCGGGAGAGCTCCCCGCCCGCGCCCGCCGCCGCCGCCGCTCGGAGACGCCGCCGCCCGGAGCCGCCGCCGCCGCCGGCAGCAGCAGCGCGGAGCGCCCGGAGGAGCCGCCCGGAGCCGGCGGGGTGCGCGGGCGGGCGGGCGGGCGGGCAGCGACGCCGCGGCCGCGGTCCCCATCGGCACCGGTCACACCGCACACGCGGCCCGTCCGCGCCCCTCCTCGGCAGCGCCAGGGGCTCTTCCTCCTCCGGTACAAAGCTGCTCGCTCGGCAAATGGCACTTCGCCCCGGAGCCGCAGTCAAAAGCAATTTTTCTCCTTCATTTTTATTTTCGTTTTTCATTATTTTTTTCAAGCTCTTTCTTGTGAAAAAGAATTAATTTCCTATACATTTTTTTTTTTTTTTTTTTTTTGGTGCGTGCGTGCGTGTGTGTGGAAGCACCGGGCTCTCCTGCGATCGGTGTCTGAATGAAACTACGTAAATGCATATGTCTGTACGTTGCACTGGAGGGAAAAACGGAGCACTTCTTCTGCACGAGCTTGGATTCAAATGTGATTCATCTGGTCTCCAGGATTTTCCGTCTCTTTGGGGTTGTTCGCCTTCCCGGGCTGCGAGGCGGGATTTTCTGAGCCTTGACACATCTTTGGAGATGGCTGTTAAACGGGAGTCTGGGAAAAAACATTTGAAATCCTAGAGAGAGATATTTTTTTGTGTCCCTTTCCCACCCCTTTGGTGACTTGAAGCATCACAGCAGCCAGAATTTAACGTTTCTGAACACTTGCGATGTTTGGGTTCTGTTGTTGCTATTTTTTTTTCTAGAGGAAACATGACAGAGGAACATATTTATAGTCCAAGTAAGTACTTTACAGAGGAAATTTAGTTTGTGTAACTTAACAAAAAGCAGTGTTGAGGTTTCTAGCCTAAAGTGCATTGGATTAACGTCCATCCGAGGCTGTTTAGCAGATCGTATTGAATTGCAGCTTCTACGGTGCGTGTTCGTCTGCTCCTTCATGTCCGTGTAGTTCGTCACCGAGGGGAGAATGCACCTGATCTTGAGTCCATATAATACTTTTTAAGATGTATTTCAACACCAAGGAGGAGATGGTCCTAAAGTAAATTTAGAGTAAGTAGTAAATGTGCACCTGGAAGTAAAGTACTTACAGCATTTTAATCCCTATTTATACCGTGCATCTCAAAGCGAGGAGGAAACACTGAGAAGACAAAAGTACCTCCAAGAACTCCCCCACACCACCATGAATGAAACTGTGCCCCATACAGTAACTGGATTATAATTTTTTTTTTGTGTGTGTTACTAATTTTATTATTATTGGCTTCTTTACTTTTTGGGGTTCATCCTGCTCCTCTTCTTCCTCTCTCCCTCCCTCTTGCTGCTTCCTCTTGGGAATTATGGCTCATCCGGGGAGAAGAGGCTACGATAACCGGGAGATAGTGCTGAAGTACATCCACTATAAACTCTCACAGAGGGGATACGACTGGGCACTACTGGGCGAGGACAGGGCACCCCTGCCTCCGGGTCTCTCTCCTCCTGCTGCTGCTGCTCCTGCGGTTGCTGCTGCTGCTGGGACTTCCTCTGATCACACTGGGCTGGTGTCTCCACACCCCGAGCCCCCCGGCTCGGCTGCTGCTAGCCACGTGCCCCTGGCCGAGGGGCTGAGCCCTGTGCCCCAGGTTGTCCACCTTGCCCTGCGCCAGGCAGGGGACGAGTTTTCCCGCCGCTACCAGAGGGACTTTGCCCAAATGTCCGGCCAGCTGCACCTGACCCCCTTCACGGCCAGGGGCCGCTTCGTGGCGGTGGTGGAGGAGCTGTTCCGAGACGGGGTTAACTGGGGCAGGATCGTGGCCTTCTTCGAGTTTGGCGGCGTCATGTGCGTGGAGAGCGTCAACCGGGAGATGTCTACTCTTGTAGGCAGCATCGCCGCCTGGATGACCGAGTACCTGAACAGGCACCTGCACAACTGGATCCAGGACAACGGAGGCTGGGTACGTCCCCCAATTGCTTGTTCTTGCTCTCGGCTCGGGCCCGTGGCCGGTGGGCTCCAGGGTGGGCAGTGCCCCAGGGGTTGCGCTTGTATTGGGGTGACCAAAAAGTTTCCCTGGGGAGCATCCGCGCTGGTGTGTGCCAAAGCAGTATAGGCCTTTTGCCAGCTGTCGAGTTTCACCTCTCTATGGGATTACAGTGGTTTGGGATGGGGGAAGCAGCTGCAGCTCGGGAGATTGAAAAGGATGAGAAGCACTCGTCATCACGCTCCACTCTCCTACCTCTGTCCACCCTCGCCTGGCCAAGGCAGGGTCCTGCAGCAGGGTGGGAAGGTGCAGCAGAGGCACCTGCCCAGCTGTTGGATGCAGGCGCATCGTGTCAGGTCCCAGGCATGGGAGCAGTGGGGAACACGTGTGTGTGTGTGTGCCAGCATCCCTGCCCATTGCAGATGACACTCCAGGTGGCAGACACAGGATCTTGGTGCTACAGGCAGACAGGTGACCATCGGTGCTGGTGTCTGCAGCTGCTGTTGCAACTGGAGTGGGGTTTCATGCTGTAGGGATGTGTCTAGTGTAAAAATCTGATTTTGTCTTGAGATGAAACAAAGGTGCTAGGGGATGTGTCCATGGGATTCTTCTGGAAAACAGGCATTTGTTGTGATCCGATGGATGACTGTGTTTCTGGGGTAGAGATCACCGCTGGCAAGGGCTGGCTTCAGCATCGTCCCGAAAGGGATGATTTCCATGTGTGGAAAAAGGACAGCTTGTGTACTGGTAGTCAATCAAAAGCCTCTCCTTTCGCTCGCTCTCTTCACTAGATGAATAACCACACCAAAATTGGAAGGGTATTTCTTTCCTTTTTTCTTGTACTAATTGATACACTGTAGCAAAATGTGGTCCCAGCTGCTCTCCAGCAAACCCAGCCTGTTGTACCTGTAAAGTTCATAATATTAAGGCATTGGAGGAAGAAATGGCAAAAGTTATACTGAAGAAGAAACTTTATATATATTCTGACAGCCAGCATAAGTCACTTGGAAATGAAGGTTGGCTAGGTAGGACACTGGCAATTCCAGGTCCAGTCCCTGTGAAATACAGAGCTGACTCGATTACACAGCACACGTTTAAGAGGTGTGTGTAAAGGAATGTGTGTGTTTCCCAGTTAATGTGGTTTGAAAGCCTGGCGTTAGTGATGCGTTACTCAACTCAATTTTTAGCCTTGGGTCCCTTGTGAAGGCAGTGTCAGGCCAAGTAACATGCCACCTGCATTGACCACCTCTGTTAAAAAATTAAGATGCTGCTACCCGCTGCTGAATGTGCCTGACTAACAGATACATGTGTCTGGGGATCCAGAGGACATCTACTTGCTGCTGTAATGAAGGGAGTAAGGCTCCCCATTGAAATAGGAATCCCAGGAATCCCCGTTGAAAACCCTCCCCAGGAAAACCCCTGAGGAGTGCTGCAGACCCCTGGTTGCTTGTCATGTTGGAGGCAGGGGCATTCTCCTGCTTTCCCCTGCTCCCACCAAGGAGAGCAAAATTCAAGGTTCAGGGGCCAGAAGGGGGAGCAAAAAATGTGTGTGCGTGTGTGTCCATGTATTTATATACAGATATACAAATATGTATATACAAATATGCATATATATACAGACACGCCGCACACACACACACAGAGTGACTCCAAGTGCTTAGTGGTTAGGACCACACTTGGGAGAGGGAGACCTATCTCCTGATCCCCTGTTTCATGGATCAGTACAGAGGGTTTGTCAGTGTTTTGTTGTTTTTTTTTTTTCACAAAACAGATAACTGGGGGGAAAAAAAATCTGCAAAGAATTGAGGCTTTTGGAGACCTTGTCTGGTTAAAAGCTGAGCAGCTAAAGGGTTAGGGATTTTGCAAATGCACTTCTGGGCTGGGATGCCTAACTTGTGCGTAAGTCCCTCCTCAGGCTGGAAGCCCATTTGTGGAGCTGGGGCCCTCGGTTCGCTCCAGAGCCAGTGAAGTCATTCTGTTGACTCCAGTGAGCTTTGCATGAAATCCGTAAGCATGCTGGAGATGTATTGTCCTGCGGGTGTATTGTGTAAAGAGAAACATAAATAATGAATAAACCTGAGAATGTGAAAAGACAGGTGTTACCAGGCGTGATTGGCCAGATGAGGCGAGTGCTGGAGCTGTTTCTCGACGGTTAGAAATGCGGACTGTAAGCACTGATTGCCTTTAAAAGGAAAAGATGCTTCTTATCGATAGCAGTTTAGCTGTTTATTGAAGTTTCCTATAAACAAAAGCTCCCGAGTTTGGATGCATGTGATGCCATTTACTGCCACGTGTTATTTGTAATGTACACATGGAAGAAGATGTGCAAAATCTTCCCCAAGGTGGCTTTTGCCTGTCTGTCTGGGAACTGTCTGGTACCTTTGAGCCACGGGATTATTAAACATAGGCAAAATTCTAGCTGGTTACAAAGAGCAAAAGACTAATGTGAAGCTGCAAACACAGCTTTTAGGATCCTCTCTTCAGATGGAAAAAATAGAATGGCATTGGGGTAGTAAATTTAGATTTTTCTTTCTTTCTTTTTTCTAGCTTTTGGGATCTGTCAGTGGGAAAGGATGTTTTAATATATGCACTCGATCTTCAGCTTGGCACTTGCACCATTCCCCATGTATGAACCTTACTAAAGCATCATAAGTGGTTCTTCCAAAGTAATTTATCACCTTGTAGGAGGTGAGGCTTTGTAGAACTTCAGTATAGCTGCCTGTGAGATCTCCATGTCACACAGTCTGCCATAACAAGCAGGAGCACCGGCTGTTGTAGTCTTCTCCTTTATGTTGTGGCTCCCTGGTATGTTGTAGAGTGGAAAGTTTATTAGAAGCTGTGTTGTAGTAGAGAGGAGAGCATTGGAGTTAGTCATGAGCATGTGTTATACAGTGAGTAAGTTGGGCAGCATGTGCTTTGGGCCTCTTGTATGGGCCTATGTCTTATACTCAGGCCAGAAGTTTGGTCAGCATATCTTTCTTATTTATCTGTTTGGTTTGAATTGGTTCTGTAAGTTGGCAATGTATTTCCAGGACATAAATTCTTTCCAAGGAAATTTGGATTCCAAGGAAAACGAAGAAGGAAAGAAGCATATCCAGGGGCAGGTTGGAAGGGGATCTAGCTGCCGGAGTATAACTTTTAGGCACTAGACATCGCTGTTAATGGTGTCTGAGAACTGTTAATACCCTTACAATACACAGCGTCATGAGTTTGTTAGAAACTCAGAAAAAGCAACATACAGGGACTACCTGCACTGAGGCTGTATTATTCACTTGCGGTTCTGGTAGCAAATAAATGCAGATTTCAACGATTTTCACGTAGGCCAGAATACCGCAATATTGTACTTCGGCCTGATAACATCTTAATTGTGTTACAAAAGAAATAAGAGGAGAACCAGCTCATCTCTGCAATTTCACGGTACTTGGTATAAAGTACGTTTTCTGACTGACAACTTAATGGCGTCGTTTCATGTTTTAGAGCCTGGTGTTTGAGCTGCAGAAGGACAGGCTTGGCAGCAGGCTGTTGCACTTGGCGACTTTTGACTTTGACATAGGGAACAGTGAAGCGATGGAGCCGGAGGAGGGGAAATAACCGGGTTGGTCATGTAGTGATGGCTTCCCTCTTTGGATACACCACCTAACATATGTGGGAGTTATGCTCAGCTCTGGATGCTTCTAGTCCAACATATGGCTTCCTCCCTGAGCTGTTCAAAAAAAAAGCAAGAGCATGAGAGCCATAGGAGACACAGGCACTATAACGTACGTGTAGACAAGTACATTTTTGATGTAAAGAATGTAAAGAAGCCCAGGTGAGAGAAGCAGCATTGCGTTGAAAATTCAGCCAAAAAGGCATTATTTAAAATTACAATATTTACGTTTGAGCCAGGAATGTGCTGTTTTCATCCAATTCTGTACTTTTATTGTGGTTCTTTGTTGTTTTTGAGAGTTACGGCCAGACATCGGGAAGGATTTAAATGTCTGAATTGGACCATAGGTGAAAGACAAGTGCTTGCATCCTCTGAGTGCCTGCCTAGCCAGAACAGTGGGAGAAGTCCCTGGCTTCTCTTTGCTTCTTGCCCAAGCCAGCTGGAAGCTGCTCCTGCCTGAGAGAGGGGAGCCACTCAGCACACTGTAGGGAACACTGTTCCCAAGAACCTCCATGTCCCAGAACCGGCAGGCATCCTCTAGCCTGGCCGCTGTCACTCACATACCATCCTCATGCACAAAAACAGTGAGGGAGAAAGAAGCCCCTGCTTTTCCTGGTGGCTCCTTGGTCAAGGCCTTTCCTGAGGTAACAGGACCTTCTCCAGCCTGTCAGGGGTGTATACACCCTCATCTCTGACATCTCAGGAGGCTTCACCTGCCGGATGGCTGCTGGTGTTGCTGAGGTGTCCTCCCCTTTGGCAATAGGGCTCTTCCTCCTTTTGCAGGGGTGAGATTTCATTTGGTGAAGGAAGAACCAGGGTGTCTAATTCCCACAATCTGTTTTCTCAGGTGGCTGTCTACAGCCAAATGAATAAATGCTTCTTGGATCAGCCACTAGACCCCAGGTTTCCCTTCTCCTGGGTTGGCTGCCCTAATCACTGTGTTTCCTCTTTTCTTTTTTTTTTTTTTCCTAGTAAATCATTAATTTTCTGTGCTCGATAGCATGCCCTGGGGAGGAAATGTGGAGAGCCACTGTGCCCTGCAACGGTCCAGAGCCCCTGAGTGAAGGTTAGGGATGGCAAACACTTCTGCCTCCAGGACAGTGCTGGAGGTCATGGATATCAGTGTGGTGCTAGGGCCTCCCTGTGCTTGTGTGTGGTACACTGACTGAAACCTCATCCCTTTCAGGCTCTGGAACTACTCTCCCAGCAGCAAAGCCAGGCACCCACCTGCACAGCACATTGCTTCTTTTGCAAGCCCTGGGCAAAAACCTCCCACTTGTGCAGGATGGGACGGTGTCTTGGTTGGAGCCGGATGCCCCATGCTGGAGCA